TGTTGATGTAGATCACCCAAACTCCAAAATTTGTTAAATATGTGTTTTCGTTCTTGTTCAGAAATAGACATTGAACATTTTAATCTGCATTTTTCATTGCACGGTGGTTTTATAGTACGAGCTTGAATTTCTTTTTTAGATGTAACAGAAATATAAGCATGGCCGGTATTTCTTTGTTTTTTCGCCAAATTGCTTTTCCAAAACTGAGGATCTCCCTTTTTATTTTTTTTTATTGGCCTGTTTAGAAACTATTTGAGAATTTGGACCTAGTTGAGGACTTGAACACGACTGAAAACTTGGACCCGGTTGAGGACTTCGAATGCATTGAGAACTTGGACCCGACTGAGGACTTGGACACGGCTGAGGACTTGGACATGGCTGGAAACTTTGACCCGGCCGAGGACTTTGATGCGATTGAAAATTTGGACCCGGCTGAGGTATTGGACTCGACTGAGAACTTGAACTTGACTTAGACATGTTAATGTCATTTTTGTTAAATAAAAGATCAGTTTGCTCTGTTTTATTTCCTTCAGATCACATGTTGTGTAAGTTCGGTCCGAGTCGCTTAGATCGGCGTCACTTTCACCAGAGTTAATTGGCGAAATTACATAATTTTTCTTACATGAACGCGATTTTCGCAAAGATTTATCCCTAGATGAAATAATTGGAAAAGAACATAAAGTGAAGTCTTCTTGTGTATAAATGTTATATTGCTGCTGTTTATATAAATTTTCGTCTTTAGAACAAATTGTAACCGAAGAATAGTTATTGTGGTCACCAACGTCATTTTCCGCTGAATATTATTGTTGTTGTTTTCAATAAGGTATTTTTCAGAAGTTGTCTCTTGTGGTACCGACGACAGTGGATTATTGTTGAACTGTAGCCGACGTCTGACTGACGCCAACTTATCATCGCTGAATCGGCGTCTTACTTTTCTATTTATTCCATCTTGTATGATGCCCTTTGAATGAAAAAAAAATACTATAGCGTCACGAAGAAAACAATTTCATATCTAAAGGTTGTTTTAATATCAATACAATTAAAATAATAATAAAAGAAGAATAAAGGAAGTGTAAAAGGGATACTGGTGGAGCGACGAGCCTAAGGTTACCGAAGTCCAATTCCCCGGTCGAGCCTTGAGCCTATTACGCGAGATGTTAAACCCAAATGGACTGTAGTTGCGAAATGTTTCTTCGTTTACACAAATTGGCGACTATAGCATGCGGTTTCCCTTGGAATGCACTCGCTCTTCCCTATACGAACTATTATTTGCCAAATCTATGAAAGGAATCCTGCTTGATTAGGAGAAAATGAAATTGGAGCGAATTAACTATTAAACACAATTATATCAAGCAGGAACTAGTAAGGAATGCTCACTCACCGGGGTGTTGCTTCTATGTGGCTTGGACGCTATGTTGCTGCGGTGCGACCTCTGGTGGACTCTCTGGGGCCCCAGAGATGCTTTCTTGTCCGGTGATGCGTTGGGAGAGAGTGCGGTGCGCGACTATTACTCACACGAGGTGAGGCGGTTTTCCTAGAGCTCGACTGCTTCCAGGCTAAAGCGGTTATACTAGCGGTGCGCGTGGGCAATAGACCTTCTATGACACTATTGTCTTAAGCGGTGTGGTTCCAACGACGAGCGCGACGGGAAAAGAGACTGCGCGTCGGCCGCGCGTGTCTTTTTATTTCTTCGGTTGCGATGATCGCGTGATATTCTAGAATCATCTTCTCTCCCCTCCCACCCCACCACCCCGATGTGTCGATAGAAAGGTATGAATGTTATCGTTTGGAAAGGGATAAATGATTTGGCAAGCCTACCGTCAAATATAAATAAAATACGAATGGTTTTCCGCGCAACCATCTCCCCCACCCTTGAAGGATTTCCTTCAAAATAACTAAAACAACTAGAGCTAAGATCAAACTGACAAATAACTAACTAACGCCAAGATTACCTAAATTCAACTACAATCTCTAATCTAGAAAGCTAATTAAACTATGGAAGAGGCAAGGGGCACAAACGGACAACAGGACGCATGTAAGACCCAACCGTGGTCTTAACGCGAGCTGCTGATTACTCCGTTGGAACCGGGAAAGACCTCTTCGACAATTCCTAATGGCCAATAGAGAGGCGGCGTGTTCTCTTTGTTGAGCACAACCACAGTTCCTACAGTTAAAGGCTCAGTTGCTATGTTCCATTTTTGCCGAGACTGCAAAGTATGCAAGTATTCCATCCTCCATTGTTTCCAAAACGATTGCACTAACCGGTCTAATAATTTGTGGCGTGCGGAAATGCTTAAGTCTATTCTCATCCATATCTATGGCGGGCAAATACTTTAAAGGCGTTAAATTCAAAAAATGTGCTGGAGTTAGAGCCAGCGGCTCCGAAGGGTCACTAGACAACGTACGACAAAGTGGGCGACTATTCATTACGCACTCAATTTGAGCGAGCACAGTACTTAGCTCTTCGAAGGACAAAATTTTATCTCCTATTACTCGGTATAAGTGACTCTTTAGACTCCTAATATTAGTCTCCCAATTGCCCCCAAAATGACTCGCGGCTGGGACGTTCAGAGACCACTCGATGCGGTTCTCGGCTAGAATGTGAGCGAACTCCGAATTATAATACTTGCTAGCTAAGAGCTCATGTAGTTCTGATAAAATACGTTTTGCACCGACGTAGTTCGTACCGTTATCCGAATACAATTTACTTACAGGGCCACGGCGGGAAAGAAATCTTTTAAATGCACCCATAAAGCCTGCTGTGCTTAGATCAGCAACGAGTTCTATATGCACCGCCCTTGTAGTTAGACATACGAAAATGCAGACGTAAGCCTTTGTGGACCTTATACCACGCCCGCGAGTGAGCGTGACCTTAAACGGACCAGCGAAATCAGATCCGGTGTGCGTAAAGGGCTTTACTGATTGTATTACTCGACAAGATCCAAGTTCCGCCATTTCCGGAAATGACGGCTTGGGGCGTGTCCGAAAGCAAGCTATACATATGTGCACCCAATTGCGGATTAAATTACGTGCAGAAATAATCCAATAATTCTGACGCAAGATCGACATCAGTAAGTCGGGGCCAGCGTGCGAATTCAATTTATGATGGTAATCGACTAATTAATTCATGATATGGCCTTTACGCGGTAAAACTATAGGGTGCCGTTGGTCGAAACTCAACTGCGAGTTGGACAAGCGTCCACCTACCCTTACAATCCCATCCTGTAAAAATGGCTTAAGGCGTTGAAAGGCGCGGCTACAAGCTCTATTCGATTGTAATCTTGTAATTTCTTCCGAGAAATGCGCACGTTGAAGTTCACGCAATACTAGCAACTCTGCATAGTCGTAATCGGACGCTAAGACATACGAACGTCGCGGTAAAAGCTTCGCGAATCGATAAACGTAAATTACGCTACGCAATAATTTCGACCAAGAGGACAAGCGGTTCGCCAAAGCAATGATTGGAGAAACCTCGCTCGAAACGTTCACCACTAGAGCGTGTCTCTTCTCTTCCGGTGGTTGTGACACTGACGAAGGTTCGAAATCGGTTATTGGCCATTGCGAGGGATCCAAGTGAACCCAAGAAGGTCCGTGGAACCAAAGCGGGTGGTCCATTCTTTGCATCGGGGTGAGTCCACGGGATAGACAATCGGCAGGGTTTTCCGTACCGGACACGTGATAAAAGTTCTGCGTTTCTAACTCGTCTTGGATCTTGGTCACTCGGTTCGCGACAAACGTATCCCAACGGTGGGGTGAAGAATGAACCCAGCATAAGGCGACGGTGGAGTCGGAAAAGGCAAATATCCTTTCTATGTGAACTCTATCCCTACATGCGCTGATAACTGCGGTAATAAGCTTGGTGAGTACTAATATTGCGCAAAGCTCCAAGCGCGCCAGAGAGACGGGGGGAGACTCTTGACTTAGAACTAATGAGGCTAATCGAATTTCTACCATTATTCTGGACGTGGAAATATACAACGCCCCCGTAAGCCTTCTCGCTGGCGTCTGCAAACCCAACGACCGTGATGACGCTATTTCCGCTTCCCCTTCCTTGCTTTCTCCGGGTTTACCTTTTTCTTGTACCCAGCCGAGTTTTTTTTTTGGTTTTTGCAGTGGTGGTTTTTTTTTTGCCCTTTTTTTTTTGGTTTTTGTATTATAATATTTCTATCGACGTTTATATGACGCGGTATTTTAATTTCTCTTAGTAAAGGAAGTTCCTCTCTAAAACGCTGCCACAACCGAACAATGCTGTCAGGCGGCGAGTCATCCCAGTCGCATTCAAATAACCAAAGTTGTTTAATGGTGAAAATCATTTAAATTGACCATTGGGACAAAAATGAAACAAAAATGAAAATGTAACAAAAATGAAACACGTAACAAAAAACAACAAAAACGAAATATTAGGGTGTTTTCACAATATACACTGGTTATCACTTAGCAACACGAACATACGCGCCCATTAGCAGCTGGCGAAATTCCGAGTTCCTCTAAGGATTACTTATAAACCTATTTTTTCTTTCGGGACAGTAAAAAAGAGATCAAATACTTCAACATAATCAGTTACATTTTGAGAATATTATTCTTAGATAAAATTATCATAAACAAATTATTGATGCAAAAAGTAGATATTTGTCAACAGCATTCATTTCGTTACAGACTTGGGAAAAAGGGTAAAAAATTTACAATCTATTTCTATATTAACTCTTTGCTGACACAATCGTATGCAGACATTATTAAGTTTTATATGCCCAGTATTGAAGCTACATACATCAAAGCTATGATGACTTTTTAATAATAACCTCATTTAAAAAAATAATATTAAGGATATCAAAATAATTGCAATAGGAACTAAAAATATCCAGACATTATATCTATTTACTGTCGTCATGAACATAATGAAAACAATTTTTATTGAAATAATAACAGTTTAAGGAACTATAGAGGTATCAAAAACTATTTAACAAAATAACAATATGAAACACTATTCACTTTCACTTGAACTATAAAAAAAAATTCTTTAATGATACAGAATTAGTTGTTGAACTTTCAAGAATTTTAGGAAAATCTACTTTGAGGTTACAAGAAGACACATTTTGCCGCTTTGTATTGCTGATCATTTTCCTTAAATCACTAATTGCATAGTTTACTTTAACATCGGATAATATAGTTACAGCTCCCGCATTTTTTATATTTTTCCAGTTATTTTTATATTGATGGTCGACATTTTCTTTATTTGTGACGGTGGCATAGGTATGGCCTGCAACCACAGGCGTCATAATTTGCGTTGGATTGCTCCGCACTTTACGCTTAGAAGTTTTAGTAGTACCAATAGTACGTGGCAAATCGAAAATATCTGAGGAGTCTGAATCACAGTCAACAGCACCAAAAATATCTATTGGTACAGTTGGTATATTTTTTAAAGAAACCGGTGGTGTTTTATTCTCGGACTTGGAGATAGCAGCAGACATGTTGGTAGTATGTGCTGTTCTTTTAAACGGTAAAGGCAGACAGTCATCTGAATCGGATGTTAGCCGAGTTCGCTTTCTGGGGCGAGATTTTAGCAGACAATGTCTTTTAATGTTGAAAGATTCGCAAAAACCTCTCATGCTTGAGCCGTTACAAAAACAACTTAAAACTCGGTAATTTATTTCATTAGAGTGGTTTTCTGTTTCGACTTGTATTTGGTGAATCTTCATTGTTTTAGGAACAGGCACTAAGCTTTCGAAAGCTGTTTGATTTTTACTTTTTATCTCGATAATATCCGACTCATCAACACAAAAAAGATGTTGTATTTTCTGTACTGTAGTATTTTCTTTCAGTAGAGAGTATGCTGTTGAGGTGTCTGAAACGTCCATTCCATGGGATACTTTAGCATCCAAAAGTCGCTTGATGACTCCTCCTATACCATCAGCAGCACTTTTCCCATGATAAGACTCTGAAAAGTTCCAAGTCCCTTTTTCAAAATTCAAGTCCTCAAGATATAATTTATACAGATAAAAATTCTTTTTCTGTTTATACTGAATGGCGGGGCCATCCGAAAATACGTGTACACTATTAATTTGCGGAACTTTTTTCTTGATATCAATCAAAATTGGTCTCAGATGTGCCCATATTGCTGCGGGTGAATGATCTGTTGAGTCAGATAGTGTGCAATATGCTCGAGGTTTTGAACTTTTAACGTATATGACACTTGTGTGTAATGATATTTGATTTTGCGTCCCAAAGTGGGCTGACTGTATTTGCCGATGCATTTTACATGTGTAATTTTCAGAAAAGTCGCAGTAAATCATAACCTCGTTGTGTTGAAGACTGCTTTTGAGATTTCTGTAGACGTTATATTGGTGCCAAATATTAAAATAATGCTCTTTAAACTTTGTAAGTTCTTTTTAAAAAAGATTTATAAGAATCTCCAGTTTTTCTGTTTTTGATTCAGTTACCACTTTCTTAGTTTTCTTAGTCTCATAATTTTTTTCATACTCAACGTCTTTCATGATCCACTCTACCCAGGTAACGTTGTCATATTTTTTAGCTTTAGTGAAATTGTAGGTTGGAGACGTCGTTTTGCAAATATTACATTCAGAAATACATACATTCTTTTGATTTTGTGTTGCATACTGTTTCTTCCAATATATTTATTAATTTCATACCCGGATCAAAGATCTTCAGCTTTTTTAGTGCCATAAATTTGAACTCAAAGTTTGCATGAATTTTGCAAACACATGTTTCACGATTTGACAGTCGAGGTGTAACTACATAAAAAGGTCTGTGTCTACGAAAAGTAGCAATAGACACGTTAATACCAGTATCTTCCCTAAATTTTTTACGTAAATTTGTCATGCTGTCAAGAAGAAACCGTTTCTGACGTTTCTGTTTTTTTTAAAGTCTTAGTTTCTTTCTTTCCCGCCGTAGCTCGGCTTACACCATCACGCAGGTAAAAGTTCCGAATTTTTTTCGCTAATTCACTGTTTCTCCTGGAGCCAAATTTTGCATAATTGCGGATTCTACTTTTTAAACCGATGACCCATCTCAATCGCGAATGCATTCTATACTTTCTCACAATCGGTGATGTAAAAATATTCCTTAAAATCTTCTTCGCCTTTTTGTTATTCTTGTATTCTTGCTTTATTGATTCAGTCATAACGAGGTTTCCTAGAAGAACTTTTTTAATTTTCATTTTATCTTCGTTTGAAGGAGTAGTCATAGTTTTGACGAATGCTTCTGATTTTGAATTTGGCGTTTGAGGCTTTGCGTGAATTATAAGATTTTCCTGCTCTGAGGGAGACATCTGACAATTAAAAAGGATTTTTGTCGATAGATTTTCTTTTTTAGTGCTTGTATTTGTTTTCTTTGTGTTTAAATTATATGTTTTTGTTTTTCATTTATTTAGCTTCTTATAGTATTTTTGATATTCTTTTATATTCTTTTTAGTTTTAACTTGTGACTCATATTTTTTCATTTGATTTTTCTTCAGCTTTCTCCAGTTACTTCTTCTTATAGACTTTTGGTTTTCTGTTAGTTTAGAAACTGACACATATTTATTTTTAATTCTGTTCAAAATTTTTAAACGAATTTCTTCAAACTTTTCTGGGTTTAATTCTTTAAGACGTTGCCTATATAGCCGTTGACGTTCAGCTGCTGTCATTGGCATCCTAAAAAGATAAAAAAATATTTTGATCGCAAACAGGCACAGAAACAACTAAAGATAGAAAAAAAATATTCGTAAATGAACAGAGAGCTATGAAATCGAAGATGACGATTGAGGACACACAAAGTTACTGAAAGAATAATGGACCAACAAAAAGTCAACTGGGCATACAATCAAACTAGGTGAAGGAAAAAATATAAACAGGCAGCAGACCATCAAATAGACTAGAAAACAAAACGACATGTTCTGGTAAGCGTGTTTCACCATCAACCTTGTCATTTTTTTCCATCAGGTGAGACTAGTGTCAATCGTGACCTAAAGAAACCTGTCAACAGTGTAACATTCGTTAAATTATCAGCGACCGAGGCTACTTTAGTTGCACTTAGTTACGGACGCTTCTAACACGGGCAAACAAATATTAGTGTCATTACTGATAGGCTATAAAATAAACAACTTATGGACAAACAAATGACAGTGATATCAACAAACAGGAATATAAGAAAATGGAACGACATATTTGAACGAAAAATAATAAATTTCAAGTACATACCTACCTCCAGAAATTTATTTATTTATTGAACTTTATTGCAAAAAAATTATAAATACATTTAAATCACTCTCAAAAATACTTGCTTATCAATATAAACCAGCAATGTGATTGCGGCTTTAGTTCATTTTTGTTATATCATTTTTGTAACGTAACCAAAAATTGTAACAAATCATAACAAAAATGATGAACCACCGTATTTTGAAAGTAATGCCAAAACGTTTAAGCCAAACAGAAACCTTAATGAGTTCTAACAACATTGCATTTCAATGAAGGTCAGTAGGAACCTTTTTAAATAAACGATGAAAAATAAGTACTCACTTACCTGCGTTGTTTGTTAAACTAAACAAAACTGATAATTTAAAATTGCAATTTTACTCGTCGATAAAGAAATACGCGTCGTTCACTTTTTTCATTGGAGAACAAAATGGCCGACACATGTTCGTTTCTTGTATGTCATTGGCTCGTTAGAAAAGCAGTGCTGCTATTTATTAATCACCAATTATTGCCAAATTTTACTGTTAGAAAAATGAACAACAAAAATGAACAAAATAATGGACATTAATTTTTTACCAAAATTATAATATTAAAAATAATTCAAATAAAATAATTTTTATTTAAATCAATGGAAATTTACTATGTTTTAGCAGAAAATTCACCAATAATTAATAAATGTAGCTAGTGTATTTATTTTCATGATTTTTGTAACGTAGCTCGTGAAGAGGACAAATTATTTTGTATGGATAATACTCGACTTGGTTACGAAAAAAGGAATAGTATTTTTCTACTATTGGTAATTAATATATAAAGCTGTATTATAAAGCTAGATAATATAGCAAAGGACAATAATTAAGCACTTTTCACATATTTAAATGAATTTTATCATAAAATATCTCTCGTGGACAAATTATTTTATAAAAATGGTCATTTTAAATGATTTTCACCCTTAATCAAAAGCTTAGCGTATAATACCACCGGAGCTACGAAACCCATGACATCCCATAATCTAGCAACGCATGACAGTATTGTGCGCTTTGTGCACTTCTCTACAGGCGGATTTACCTTAAGGCTAAACACGTCGGACTCTTGTGACCAACACAGACCGAGCACCTTGTGTGTGTTAGAATCGTTGAATTCCTTTATCGCCGAAAGACGGTGTGATAGTGGGATTGTGTCTAAAACCGGACTTGAATTACTAGTCCACTTAACAAGATCGAATTGACCCGATTTCATGAGCTTTATAACCTCGGCGGTAGGGTGGCCTCCTCCACGCTATCGACCTGTTATACCCCATCAATGTTAGGAGATCGGTTAACACATCTCTTTCACGCTGCTGCGTCAGCGACATAAAGCCTATATAACCGATTTCCCGACGAACGCCAGTCAGTCTACAGTGAGTCTTCAGAGAGTCTTCAGTCGGTCTACAAGAAGCCTACATTCCGTCTCCATCAATCTTCAAGTCTCATTCCAATCTCAGTCATCGTTACTAAGTCGTTACTATATCCTTATAAAATCTTTCTAAGTCCTAGTTATTATAAGTGTATTAATTTCTTATTGTGAATTTAATTGAATTATATTGTGTCGTGTATTAAATTTTTTTTTAAAGCTATCCACGGTCCCGTATAATATTGGTGGCAGCGGTGGGATGCGAAAATCCTACCCGAATACGTTTCCGAAGAAAAGTGAAAGTGAATAAAGTGAATCAAAAGTGAAATAAAAGTGTAAAAAAAAGTGAAAGTGCATTAAGAAAAACCAACACCCAGCCTGTCATAGTAACAGGCCCTCTGCATCATCCAACGGCCTACTCATCATCGGATGATCCCTGCCCATCATCACCATCCTTGTTGGCATACAAGGGTCTCTGTCTCCGACACATAAGAAACATGAACGCAAGCCTTATCATCACTCTACCATTGTTCCTGTAAGTGACATTCTTAAAAATAATTATTCCGATTGAACTCAGAGCAAAAACATTTCTTAAATAATTTTAAAGCATATTTTATGTAACACTATAATATTTCTAATATAAATCGACTCATTGTTCCGGTCATTGAATAAGTCACTGTGCTACATTGTTAAATGTATTTACGTTAACATTACCCTTTGACCCTTTGTTCATTGTTGCATATCTTAGCTGATAAGCATTTATTTTTTCGATAATCCTTTTTATATAACTAAATTACAATGAGTAAGTGTGAAGAGACTCCCTGTGCCTCTAGGAACCTACCAATGCGTGGCGAAATGGAAGAAAAAACGGTGGAAATAGGTGTATTACTGAAATTCATTAAACCTTTCGATGGATCACGGGAAAAATTAAACCCATTTATATCTAATTGCCAAAATGCATATAGTCTTGCTTCTAAATCCCAAAAATCGATATTATTTAAATATATACTAAGCCAACTAGAAGGTAGGGCTGAAACAACGTGCAGTATTAAGGAATTCGAATCTTTTGAACAATTTTTGGAATTTTTTACTCCCATCTCCTGTCGGACCTACAGGACTGTAAGCAGGGTTTAACAGAATCGGTTAATCAATTTGCCTTAAGGATAGAAACGTGCCTGGCTAAATTGTTGACCGAAATAAATATTTCTATCCCAACCAAAAGGAAAACGGAACTATCAGGTCGTGTAGCCGCTATGGAGGATCTAGCCCTCCACACGTTCGTCATAGAGTCAAATAGTCAGGTGTCGTGACCCTGACTCTTTAAATTCAGCCGTTAACTTTGCGGTAGCCGAAGAGAAAATCCTTTCTAGCATAGGGAAAAGACTTCAACCATCACAATCCCAACATATATACAATGATAGAAGACCGCCGCCTCGCCGTAGTAATCCACCATTTCAACCCAATTACCGCCCCGATAATTTTAGGACTAACACAAACGTCTTTTGTCGATATTGTAAAAGCATCGGTCACAGTATAGAAAACTGTCGCAAACGACAGTATAACAACAGCAGGCAACAGTTTGGTGCGTCAACCTCACAAAGTCCACCTCACATATTCCCACAGCGTGGCGAAAACACGCCACGTAAAGTTCATACCGTCGAACAGGTGGTCGC